TTGGGTTGCTTGAAAAGTCGATTACTTTGCGATTAGAGGAGAAAGAAAAAGAAAACGATGTGAATCAGTTTATGGAATCATCTCTCATGAGATTGGTTTGTGAGAAGAAAGAGGAAGAGCTTCAAGAGAGAGAGAAAAAAGTTGAGTTGCTTTCTAAGTTGATCGATGAGAAGTCGTGTGAGTTAGACAGGAGAGTGAAAGATTTTGATCTGAAGGAAAAAGTATCGATTGAGAGAAGGAGCAAAGAAGCTGAGGCTGTGGCAATATCACTTAAGGAACTCGAAGCGAAGGAGAAGGAAATTAGCTTACTTGATGAAGCTGTGAAAGAGAAATTGGCTGAATTGGAGAAGAAAAAAGAAAACTTTGAAGCTGAACTGAAAGAAAAAGCTGAGCAGATTGAGGAGAAGAGCAAGTTTCTTGAGTTAAAGGAGAAGAAGCTTGAAGAAAAGCAGAGAGAGTTTCAAGAACCATTAAAACAAGCTGAGGCTTGTAAGAGATCAAGGGTTAAAATGTTGGCAGAAAAGTGTGGTGAAGTTGATTCTCTTCTCCCTCCTCCAAAAAAGCAAAAATCACACTACCATGATGATGAAGACGAAGGAGAAGATCTAGCTTGTGTAGTTTCAGCTTCTGCATCTTCGTCTGAACATTTGAACGAAGCGCAAGAAGGAGAGATTGATGAAGTTATCTCCATAGCTGACTCAGATGACACAGATGAAGAAGATCCTGAGCCATTAAGTTGTCTTGACTCAGAGTTTCATGATTTTGAAAAAACATTGAGCTCTTTCGTGGTTGGTAAAGTGTGGGCTCTCTATGATCCTATTGATGAGATGCCTCGATTGTATGGTCGGATCAAGAGAATTAATAAGTCGCAGTTGAGTGTTCAAGTTACATGGCTTGACCCTAAAGATGAGGAATCAGTTCTTGTTGCTTGCGGGAGGTTCGAGCATGGGCTTACAGAAACCATGCAAAGCTACTTGACGTTGTCTCATGAGGTGCATCCAATCATATATGGCAGAAACTTCATCGCTGTGAATCCGAGAGAAGGCGAAACATGGGCACTTTTCAGAGATTGGAGCAAAAGCAGGAACAACAATCCGGAACAGCACAAGCCTCCTTATAGGTACGACCTTGTGGAAGTAATCAGCTTCGACGATCATCTAGGATTTGGAGTGGCCTATTTAGGGAAGGTTGAAGGATTTGTATCGGTCTTTAAGCACGATGTGCAGGATGGAGTCGTCTCTTTCTTGATCTCACCAGAGGAAATACATAGATTCTCTCACAGAGTGCCTTCTTTTAGACTGAATGGAGAGGAGAAAGAGGGAGTTCCCGCTGGTTCTTTCGAGCTTGACCCTGCTGCTGTCCCGAGTTCTATACTCAAGCTTGATCACTCTGTCCACGAGGAAGCAGAAGAAGCGGAAAGACAAAGCAAGGAATGTGGTAAAGCTGGTGAGGTTGAAGATCAAGATGGGTCTAGAAAAGATATTCCCATTATTATCTTAGATTAAGGTTGATCTTTATTTGTGAGTCTGATGGTGTTAGTTCTTGTAATAAGTATGTAGGTCATTGCTTCTAGCTGTAGAACATGGAACTATGATCCTTTAGATCTGTCATTGTCTCTTGACTGATATAATCAGGTAGAATTTCCTTCTTCTTTCTGCACTAGTATTGTTGAAACTATATGTCAAATTACTTGCTAATCAACAAAGTGGTAACAACTTTTAAATTTGAAAAAGAATTTTGTCTTTGGTTACAAATGAATGAATCTAGCCTCATCTCTTATACCAGTTGGCTACCATATGAACAATACATGCATCTCTCTCCCTGACCACAAACACAAAAGATAAAGTAGTATTTATCTGATACTGATACAGAACCATCTTTCTACTTCACAGCTTTCATAGAGATTCTCTCCTTTTGTTCACCAAAACAATCTTCAAACCTCCTTAAGTCCTGATCCAGTCTTCAGACAATGGAGAGCAATGACTTGTCGAGAAAACAGAAATAACTCAGAAAAAGTACTTCAACAGGCTTCTATGTTTTGAACCGTCTAAACCCGAACCAGATTTCGTAGTGATTAAACAGCAAGCTATCATGTGTTTGTTTTCCAAGATACTCAAGTCCTAAACTTGCTAGCCTCTCTGCACACTTGTCTCCTCCTAACCGCGAACAAAACTTTACGTTATGCGACACGAAGATTCTCCCATCATAAGGCTTTAACTTTTCTACTAGCCTTTCGAGTCCAGTCCACACGAGTTTATCAGGCATGTGGAGAAAGACTGCACTTGCGTATATCAGATCATAGGTGATATCTGAACCGAACTTGCTGAATTCCATATCTTCGCCTCTGACTATAAGAGGTCGTTTATGTAGAAGACCTTGAGATGGAAGCTCGTACCTTAAAGCAGCCATTAGAGAAAGCTCGTCTTTTTCAAGACAGTGGAAGTGTCTAGGATTGAGATATCGGATGAAATGCAAACCTACACGTAGCGTGCCACATCCGATTTCTAAAACACGAGAGTTTGGTTTAAGATTGGCTGATTCAGCCAAGAACTCGAATACATCGCGCCCACCTGCCCAAGGTTCACCATAGTTGCTGTGATGCTGCTCAACTAGTAACTCACCAGGACATGGAAGAGCTGTATGGTTGTTTGCTTCATCTCCTTCGTAATGAGATATACCCTTGTACCTGAATTTTCAACAGAGTGAAATCAGAAAAGTAATGACCAACACAGAGAAAGTTAGAGTCTTCAGATTCTAAGAACACAACAATGGAATCAAGAAATGAGCAGAACATGATAGGATCTAATCATAGAGCCTACACTTTGATGAAATCAATCTACAGAAACACCATACACAGTTTCATCAATCTACAGAAACACAATACACAGCCAAATCTCTAAGCAAGAACACTCAAGATCCTTTTGCTCTCACTAGATTGATCTTCAATTCCAACATAGTAACACTAGATAACATAGTAACGCTAGATCATGACCTCAGAGATACGGAATCAACAAATGAAAAACAGTCTTAACATTACATATATTCTTCAATTCCATCTTTGTATTCAAAATCCAAACTGAGTCACTGAGCTAAAACATCAAATGGAATCTCAAACCATTAACTAGTCACTCAAGTTTCCAAAGCAGCTTGAATCTGTAACCCTTGTAGCTCAAAACAAGAGAGAAATTAACAACARCAAAAAAAGAGTGCGAGAGGATGATTACTGTTTCAGATCTATGAGTTGTTGATCTCTAGTGCGAGGATTGATCCCTTTCCGAAGCTCATTCTTCTGCATATGCAAACCATTAGATCTAATCAGATCTCTAACCCATTCGATATCCTCTTTCGTCGGCGATGTCCTCTCCGCCAATCTCACATCACTGACGCTTCCTCCGACATCGGCTTCGTTCCGG